ACTCCTTCCACAATTACAGAGTTCCAACAAGTCTCATAATGGAAGAACCAAATTTAGCTTCTAAAATGGATTAAATTTCTTTTCATTTTTAAATTTTGTCCTATTAAAACAAACTTCCAAACTACTGCACACCAAAACTGCATTTCTTGACACTACTTAGTGAAACAAACTTTTGAAAGTAAGCTATAAAAAAATATCTTGAATCAGAGGACATCCTGGAACTGTAAGGGCATTCTGGGCTTTCTTATTAAAGGGCAAGAATAAGTAGAAAGTGTGTCCTACCACAAAATGGCAAACTTTTTATTAAAAAACAAACAAACAAACAAAAAAGCAATGCCTGCATCTTTTAGAGAAAATAGTAATGAACTATTAGTGTCAAGTACCATGAGTTGGAAAGAACTTACAACTTTCTCAATTTTTTAAACAAATTCCTAAGAAAAAGGCTTGTTTGGGGGATCTCCTGTTATTTTTTTATCCTTTGGGGAAAATACATAACTACCATTGACTTGATTTACAAACTAAAAAAATCACTTTCATATGTTTGTAGCCAGTAATGATGAACTAGACAAGTTGTCCAAAGAAGCTCATTTTATAAGCCTCTAAAAGATAAGGCAAAACCTTATTTTCCTCAGTATGGCTCCCACTCACGGTGAGCCTACTTGGAATTCTTTTGACAATAGCAGATAAATCACACATTACTTTTGAGGAACGTTTTCTTCATTATCGTTTCCTTTTAATTTCTCTTTAACAGGATGAGAGATCTTTACCTCACACCACAGAATTGAAAACAACAGAAAACAAAACTGACAAGTTACCGATTTAAGCAATCCTCTCTATCATAACTTTTGGTCAACATTAGCTACATCTTTTAAATGTGAAAATCAGCATGCCTTTTCTTAAAGGCTTCAGTGCTGATCTCCAAGAACGTACGTTTACAGCCAATGTGTCTCAAAAGTAGCCTTCAAAATATCTTGGGGGCAAGAATTTATTTCCAGATATGGAAGCCTGAAAACAGATAAGGACGTGCAGTACGTTTTGCAAGCATGTATCAGGATCCCCGCCGATAAAGCAAACCTCTTGAGACTAACAAAACCTCAAAACAGGCTCAGATTGCAGGGTTTCCAGGATCCTCCGGGTTTTCAGATCCACCTGTGCAGGCAGGCACTTCCTGTTCTCCCGCGCCGCCAGGGAGTAGTTTGGTGATTGTACCGTAAGCCGCCGTTTAAAAGCTAAAAAAAATTAACTTTGTACATCTGCACAGCTACTGAGAAACCGCCAACCCGAGATCCTACCGCATCCCAATCCAGTCAGCTTCCCCAAGGAGGGACGCCAGTGAAGCCCTTGGGGCAGGCTGAGCGCTCCCGCGGCGGCGGGGCTGGACCGTGAGCCGCGGGAGCCCAGCCAGCACACCCCGACCCGGCCGATCCCGCCCTCAGCCCGCGGCCAGCCGGGTCAGCGCGCCCGAGCAGGGCCAGGCCGAGGGAGCGCGAGCCCCCCGTCCGCCGGGAGTGCCGGCGGGGGCTCCCGAGACTCACCCCGAAGCTCTGCCTCTCGGCGCCGCAGCCTTCCAGGGCCGCCGGCCCGGCTCCGCCTCGCGCCGACACCCACCAACGTCGTGACAGCCGAACCGACACGCACCCAGACGGACAGCCACACCGCCGCTCGCAGCCGCCCGACCCGCGCAGAGCATGCGCGCACGCCCGAGACCCAGGGGCCGGTCTGGGCAGTGACACCTGCGATCAACAGGTCTCTGGGCCCCGCCCTCTCCCGCGTCAGGACGCCCCGCCCCCTGGCAGGGCCCCGCCTCCTCCTGGCGCCCCGCCCCCGCCCGTGTATTCCCAGCTTTCCTGCGGGTGATGCTCCCTTTCCGCGGGGTTTCTGCGAGGCGCGAGATCCCGCGAGATCAGGACTTGGGCTTTTCCAGACGCGGGGGTGGCGGACGGGGTGCGCTGTGAGGAAAGTCGTGGCGGTTCCTAGCGCCGCGCGGTGGGCCCGGGAGTGGAGCTGTTGCCACTGCAGACGCGGTCGATCTGCATTCTCCGCCTTGGTCTGCGGTTTTGCAATGTGAGCGTGGGTCTGCCGGCAAGCGAGCCGAGGTTCTGTGGGTCCAGCCGTTGCTAGGTCGGCTCCCCAGAGGTTCCCGTGGCTTGTGGGGCGTCCATACGGTTCGTTTGCAGCTGAATGTTTTCCACTAACTGGTGGTTTCGTGACCATTAATAAAATGAAAGTCTTAATAAGCCTGCTGACCCAGTTAATATTTGTCAGAAAATTTGGCAGTTTCGGTTCCGTGTTTTAGAACAGGTATTAAGTTGCAAGCTGCTACTGAGAACCAGGCTAGCCTTTGATTAAAAAAAAAAAAAAAAAAAAAACAAAAACAAAAACAAAAACAAAAACCTGTCTGGCCATTAAGGTCTTTCAAAAGTAGATGTAGGTTTGAAAGATCTTTCCAAAGCTGGTACGAATAGAACACAGTAATAAAAATAAATTAAGACAACGAAAACCCCAAAGGTAATTCTTAAATTTATATCAAGAAGTAGTAGGAGGAAACCTTTGAAGTTCATTGGTGACATGCGATGAGTTTATTGTGCTTGAGAATTTGTTGAGCGTTTACCACATAAGAGAGTAAAATGAAATGAGGCCGTAGACGCTGTCCCAAGCTTTACAATTTGGAGGGGGGAGCGGGGGGGAGAAAACAGCTCTTAGAAGTTTAATTGGTCCAATGCTGTTTCCTCCTGGTTCTGCAACTGCCTCCTGAAGCACTTTAAACGTTTTTCTTCCCTTGCCCACCCTTGTTCCCAGCACTCCGTTTTGTGGTGTTACTTAATACTCTATGTCACCTCTTCCCCATCAGGGACTCAACGTGTGAGCTATGCTATACAAAGCGCTCTCAGATGTGTATCGTCATGTCTTTCTCTTATCCTGATTTCATATTTCTCCCTACTCATCTGTACTCTGACCATTTCCATTCTGTTCTTCAAATAATGTCACCCATAGCCCCATTCTTCATTATACTATATACTCTTATATAGTTTAGAACTATACTGTATACTATTACCATCTATACTATACCAAGTCATATGGACTCTTACTTAAGCTTCTCTCAAAACCGTCTATTACAATTCTCCATCATTCAAGTGGTTGTTTGTCTTCTGACTGATTTCCATTTCCAATCTCCATTTTACTAGTGGCTTTTCTAACATGAAAATGACAACAATAGCCCCGTTAAGAACTTTTCAGACACCCTCCTTCCGCTATCATCTGCATCGCCTTTCATAATCTTACCCTACACTGCTAACCCCACCTGACATTTCCTCCTTTTCTCCATGCTAGCTATTCTAATCCCCACTGTTCTGCCATCCTCCATCTCAACAGAGTAACCCTTGCCTCCATAGATCTTTTCATACCTTCCTGAGAAAACTTGCCCCATTGTTTAATATTTTTGGACGTGTTTCTATTATAGCAGTCATTTTTCTGCTCCTCTTAAGTGTTAACTGGCAAAACAATCATGGCATTCATTCTTGAGAAACAATATAAATTGTGGAAGACAAGTAGTCTGTTTCTGATTTAGAGATAACACAGGATGTCCTTCAGTTTGCTCTGCTCAAGAGTTTGACTAAATCCTGACAGTACACTTTTTTTCATCATACAGTCTCAAACTTTTGACAAGTTTTTAGTATGCTCCAGTGCTGACCTTTAAATGATAGTAATATAGGAGCTCCACATTTAAGTATCGAGAAGAGTCTGAAGCAAACATGAAAGAACAGGGCATTGACATAACAAAATTAGAACTTCTTGCTTCCAGAAAAACTTGTAGTTAGGAAGCTCACGATGTGTGGTACAAATATCTTGATTATTCCTTGTTGAGAGATGTGTGTGGTGGGTGTTAGATTCAAATAGTCTGAATGAGTAGACCTAAATTATGAAGAGCAATCTTTGCCTCATTGCTTAAGGGTTCATGAAAGGGAGTAGCTTGGTGTGGCAGAGAACACACTGGATCATTCAGATGAAGTCCTGATGAACTTCATAGTACGCACATACCTCTTTCTGTTATGGTAGATTGATTATAAGTCAGACTAAGGAATGTACTACCCTGTGGCTAGATTCCTGCCACTGTTGACTTGTAGGAGCAGCAACATTCTGTCCTGAGGAGCTGGGAACCAGTAATTCCTGGAAGTCATTAACAGCTATTGGTGTGGTAAGTCATGGTTGAACTGGGTGGAGCAGAGTGAAATGTGGCATCGAGAAATACCAGCTGAAAGAATGACTCAAAGTTAGATACTAGACAAAAAAAAAAAAAAATTACAAATACATTCACGAGTAGGTAGGGCAAGTTATCACATATTGACTAAGCAGAGAAGGCAGGAACTATCTTTTTTTCACAGTAGCTTTAGGTCATAGTTAAGTGTCTGCCACTGGGATTTAACAAATACATGTTCAGTGAATGGAATGAAGAATTGTTTGGGCAAAAATTGAAGCTTCTGGGGCTGTGTGAAGAAGGAAGAGATGAGCCTGTTCAGAAAGCCAAGTTTTAGAAACAAAATAAGGCTAGTGTGGAGTTAATATAATAGGAAGCCCTTGTAAGTTCTTGAATGGAATGATGTGTGTGGAGTATGACCAAGAGCTATAAGGGAAACTAAAGTAAGAAGAAAATTTTCAGACTATGACTCAGGGATGAGTCTCCCAGAAAAATCTAGGCAAAGCCATTTCCTCCACACACATCTCAGTACTTGTGACATAATCCTTCCATGGCTTTTCTCCTACTTTATCAGCTTTTCTTTCTCATATTACAGGGCTTTACAACAGTTACTTGCCTCCCTTGGTAAAACATCATCCAAACCCAAATAAAACGCCCGGTTTTTTTTTTGTTTGTTTGTTTTTGTTTTTGTTTTGTTTGTTTGTTTTTGTAGCAGACTCTTTCCGCTCAATCACAGGATGGGCATAGTCCTAGGTGGAGTGTTTTTACCCCTTTCTGTCAGGCCATTAGTGTGTGGCTGGTTCTGCCTCCTTTCCAGCAGTTTTCATAAAGTTTGCGGGAAAGAGCCATCGTCTCTCTGATTGCAAAGCAGTATAATTACATGCACTGGAAGCTACTGCGTTTGGCGTTTGGTGTCACTAGTCTAAAAGAATAAGGTGATAAAGAGTCCCTGAGAGTTACCTATCCCCTTTCAAAGAAGCTAAGGGTTGACCATTCACTGGATGCCCAAGCTCTGAGGCATGATGTTTGATAAACAAAAGAAGGTCAAATTCAACATTCCTGGCATCTTACACAGCCTTCTTCTTTGGTTTGAACATTACTGGCTCTCCATCCCACTTCTCCTATGATTCTGGTATCCCAAGAACATTTGCTGGTAAGATATCAAGTGATTTAAACTGTGGCCTCCTTAAGTTTTGCTGATTAGTTAGCTTAGTCAATTTCATACTCTTACGGTATTTTACTTTGAAACACCCTGATCTTATCTGTAAAAATTAGGATGAGAAATGACATATGTCATTTGATAATGCTCCAGATAAAAGCAACTATTCAGCCTTACACTGTATTATTAAGGCCATTAGTGCTGCTATTCTGATTATCAATATACTGTGCCACCTGATAGTGTGATGCTATGAGAAGCTATGTGCTCTTTTCCTAGAATATGCCCTTGGTCCAGACTCTCATTCACATAGGAATCTGTTCCCTTTTAACTGAGGGAAGGGAACCCATTACTCCCTTCTCATGACTTTCTAACTGTCAAGAGTGTCTATCAAAATGAGTTGTACCTACTGCTCTTATTTTTATCTTTTTCAGCAATGGAAACTTATCTTCAATTACTCTTAAGACATTTCTTAATGTTGAAAATAATACCTCTTTTGTTCTCAAGCTAAAAATAATCTCTTCTCAGTTTTTGAAGGCCTAGAGAGGATTAAACTAATTATGTTTTTATTTGTTATACTTCACCTTATTTTACAAAATACTTGAAGTGAATTCTAGGGTAGCATGTAAAATAGTGGGTCAGATATGAACAAAGGATAAAATGAAACACTGAGAATAGAATGTAAAGTATGAGAACTAAGAAAACAATAACACAGTAACAGTGCATTAGTTGATAGATACCTTAAACCAGTTTGGCTTTGATAACAAGAAGTGAATAAGATATTTAAATGATCAGTAATAGGGAACTTTTTTTTTGGTCTTTATCCAAAATGTGCCACCCTTAGGTCTTCATCTAAGGAGACTTGTGCACTATGAGGCTAATATCCTATTTACTCATAGTTGTCTTACCAATGTGTGCCTGGCAATGCAGCAACAAGCCTCATATGCCCCCAAGTGACTGAATTCATAATGTGCTTTTGTCGTCAACTTCTGTAAAAAAGAAAAAAAAAAGTGCTACCCAGAAATAAAACTAGAAAAAGTGCTACCCAGAAATAAAACTAGATCTTGCAGCAAGTCTGATCCAATCATGCAGTTTGGAGGAGGCATTTCTTTTCACACAAATGCCTTTAAAATATTTTGTAACTAAGCTTTGCTAGCCAATGTAAGTTTATATTTAAAATAACTACAATTATATACCACCAATAGACATGCTAACATGAGAGGGAGAACTCTCACAGGACCCTACGGTGAGACAAAGAGCTGCAGGCTGAGAGGAGAGGGGAAAGTCAGTGTTGCCGGGCATGAACTCCATAATTGGAGATTCTTTACGA